ATCTTCTGCTGGCGAGCAGCGTCACACGATTTGTTAAACCAGCCGTTGGACCCTCCCTGGTCTAGGCACTTTCACTGTGTGAGGGATGTATTCCTCCATTCCGACGTGGATAGTTTCTGTTATCGAAGAACAGACAGTCGACGCATCCGCGTCAGTGAAACAGACATCTTTCCAAGGAAAGCTAGAGAAGAAATCTCTGAGACCCTCCCAGTCGGCATGTCCGTAATGCCAAGTTTTGCGGCCTGTACGAGTTTCTGCTGCCACAGCGGGTTCTGACCGAAACATAACCTCCACAACACCGTGGTCTGAGTTACCCAGGCGGGACAGGACAGCAGTGCTGTAAGGGGCAGGATGCGTGGTCAGAAAGAGATCCAGCAGGCTACTGGCGTGTGATGAGATGCGGGGGAATAAAGTAGGTCTCGTCACCAGCTGAGTCAGCCCTTGGGTAAGAGCGAACGCTTCGACTGCACGACCTGCTGCGTCGGTCTTGTTTGAGTCCAACCAAAGCTCATGGGCATTGAAATCACCGAGAAGAACTACCTCTGAGGCGGGATGATTGATGTTTAGGAAGTCGATCTGGACGGCGAGGTATTCGAGTAGGTCATCCCAGTTATGGTCCGAGGGAGAGCGATAAAGGCAGCAAATAAACTTGGGTGATGTTTTGGAGTTGAGGCGAAGCCACAAAATGTCCTTCCGGTCTGATTCCAATGAAGCATATCTGGAGCAGGAAAGACTGCTGCAGACAAAAGCCACAACTCCCCCGTTCTTCCTTAGATTGGAGTGCACCTCGTAGTTTGGGAAGTTAAGATGGTTAATCGGTGCAGACTCTGAGATTTCTGTCTCCGCCAAAAAAGGCACGGCGGGACGATTGGATTGCAGGTAGTGATGAACAGCATCAATGTTGCTGTTAATCCCGCAGATATTCGAAAAACAAATTTTATCTTCGATGTTGTTCCCACGAGCCCACCCTCGACCCGCACATTCCGAGAGTGGAGTGAGTTTACGTCCGGAGTCCTTAGTGCTCGAAGGATCCATCATCATTAATTTCTTTGTTTTGGAGGATAACCGACTGCATAGCTTAGGTGTGGAAACATGCGGACATTTATAAGGGAAAAGCTAGCGGGTGGTACTGCCTCGGTCGACTGGTCCTTGTCTACCACCTTCTTTTTACGTGTTAGTGATGTTAAATAGACCTGAAGTGGCCCGTTGGCAGACTTGTACCGCTACCCGGCAATCGGTACTGAGGTATTCCTTAACGCGTGGGCAATCACTTGAACGGGAAGAAGTTGTATACTGGATACAACAACTTCCGGAACAAGCATTTGCCACGGCCCCACTCAGTAGGGAGTAGGGTTTATTAAACGTTGTTCTTAAAATCATTTTTTGAGAAATACCCAAATCATAAATATGGGTTGAGCATGTAGCTCCCCAAGCCACCGTAGGTTAAATGTGGCCCGATATCATACCCTGTATGATATAAGGTAAAATGTATTTCATGTGTTTTTAAAATATATGAAATTCGAACATCCCAACGCAAGTGTGGATTCCGGAATATACCAAGGTATTTTATATTTTATATCTGATGCTCTATTAATCACTGATTTCTGGTTATTTACCATAAACGAGATGTTTCGTATATGTTAGAATATGACGAAAATGGTAAAAATTGTATTTCAAAGTAATGAATGCTCAATTTTCTGTTATTGGATAATTTTGACAAAATCATTTTCTACTATACTTACTAAATCCATCGCCTTTATAACAAACTTCTGTGACATCTGCGAAACAAGAAAAACATTTTAACCATATCAATCGTTATCGCATTCTATTTCCTGGAAATTTGGAATTTGAAAAATAGTAAGTCTGGCAACGATTAGTAAATAAATCCAAAAAATGTGTCGCCAAGGACATCCCCGAAACAAACTGATTGGAACGTTCCAGGAACGACCCCAATAGGACGTTCCAAGGACGTTCTATTTGACGATCGACTCTAATTGGGCCTAAGTCGGACGTTTCAGGAACCAAGTATGCTTTTAGGGTCGATTGCGCTTGCCTTCCTTTTTAAAGCCATCGGAAATCGCAAATGCCAGATCAAGTATAATAAAAGACTTAAATGTGAGCTCTGGGGAATTATATCAATCGCGGAGAAAGCGTGTCATAAAGAAAGTTCTCATCCGTACCTATCCATCCATTATTTACCTCTCCGACAAGAAACTTCCTCTATATCATGTTCGTATCAGTTTGCTGCCAGAGATCCAACTTTCCTCAACAGGCAATAAAAGTTTTTATAGATATTTTGAGACAAACATTTCATTTGAAGCTGCTTGAGAAGTTTGTTATCCCAGTATTTGGTTAGCTGTGTAGTATATAAGTATCTATCCCGGTAACGAGAAACTGTGCTGTTTAGATATCGTCCTGTTTTTCACGAAAAATTCGGTATAATTCCATACAGACTGTAACAAAAGTTTGTAACGCATCAAATGTCTGACGAATGACTCATCCAATTTTTTTGAAAATCGATAAGCTTAGTTTCAAAATCACGGCGGATCCGTTGATGATATCCGCGATGTTGCCAAATCTACAGTTTTTCAGAAACTTATAGCAACTTTTGTTTTTCTTGGGAAATGCTATATATTTTATTCGTATTTGTATTCAGCGTGACCTTCTGAATACTTTTTATTAAACATACTTTGACGTAGACCTCATAGTTTTCGAAATAACAAAAAAAACGTATTTTTAGTTAGTTGAGTTAATAAAAATATGATTCATTCAACTAAAAACAAGAGGTTAGAAATTCTAGTATTGATTAAAATAGTGTAGGTATTTGATATTCCAAGAAAATTAAAAACAAAAAAAACGATAAAACCTAGTTGTTGTTGGCTTCAAGGTAAGATAAAAATCATATTAAATGTTTAAATTGCCGTCCATATACTTCTTGGCAATAAGCTAGATATTAATATAAACAGACTCGTTAGAATTTCTGTTCTCTCGGTTTCACTTAACTGAATCATTCTCAATAATTCTACAAAACTCAATGGACTATGAAACTGTTCCTCATCTGAGTTTGATTAGTTTCACGCTGTGTGCTCTGAGCTGGGCAAGTTTCTTGTAAATCTATCTCGAAATCTGAAGATGAATTTCAAGGATTTCAACGAAACTGCTACAGTAGCGCAATTTGTTGTTTCAGCCTTCATGGAAATCGATTTCCAATAGTTTGCAACGTCTGTTACGCATAATTTTAGCGAAGACATCGCTGTGATAGAAATGAAAGTGATTGCGTTTAAAAATGAGTTGGCTTCAAAATCATTAGTCTCAAATACAAAACGTATCTGGCCTTCAGCAAGAAAAGATCAATATTCAGTTTTATGTCGTGTTGCCTTAAAATTGAAAGCGTTATTTGGTTCAACGTATTTGTGTGAATCTTCTTTTTCAAATATGAAGTTTATTAAAAACAAATACCGAAATCGAGTTACAGATGAACATTTGGACAATTGTATTCGAATGGCGGTATCAAATTATACTCCAAACATTAAGAAAATTGTCAGTGAGTCTGAGTGTCAGGCTTCTCATTGAAATTTATCTGGACATGTTTTTGTTTAAAATAGTGCGTTGCTTTTTTATTTTGAGTAACCTTTATTAAATCGTATGTGGCATGCCATTGTAGCTGACGAAACATTTTGTTTATTTTCCAAACACCTACGATTGGTAGAAATGGATGTAGTTATGTAGTATGTATTAGTTATTAGCTTAAGTTTATTTGTATGTATTATTATTGGTAAAATATACACATGTATGTTGCAAACAACTGTGTATAATTTTATTTAAGTTGGCTTACATTGCTTACGACTAGGTAGCTCACTGTTTATTCCACACACTGAAAAGGTTGGCGACCACCACCCTAGTGGATATGTTTTTTTGTGTGGTACATTTCGAAAGGCAATGATTAAGCCACGCATTGCTCATCTCCGAATAGCTAACCCCTATATCAAACTCGTGCATAAAGTCTAGATTATGAAAGATCGATTGTTGCTCCAAGCTTCAACAACCATGGTATATTCACCGATAACATCGGCCGCTGGCTCACGCCCGACGTTTGCTGTTGTTTCTATTCAACGCTCGCTGATGCATGGCGGCTTTCGTCCGAACCTAAACAGTTTCGAAATAAGGCAACTGGCTATATTAGTCGATGGACCGGATGTTTCACAAATCTGCACCCTTGTTCCTTTCACAAGCCGAAACGGTGATGTGTAGGTCCACGTATATGCCCGCATATAGGTCAGTCGTTTCAATAAAGTTGATTGTTGTACCTCCTGAAACTTATCGCGAAGTTTTCATGTACATAGGACTCCATCGTTCGGCTGAATCAAACCACATTTACCTTTTCGGTCTTTGCTTTCAATGTCTACCAGAGAGAGAGAGAGAGGGAGAGAGATAGAGAAGCGTGCAACACCGTGCAACACGTATGTTAGACAGAAAGAGTTCACGCTGTAAGCACCGCTAGCACTTTGACTGGTAAAGGGGATTGGGGGTGAGGGCGTCTTGAAGCTGCGCTCCGCATCCTACCCACTGTAGTTGTCAGGCAACGTGGTGACGACGCTTATAGGGTGCACTATTTCTAACATACGCGTTGCATTGGCATTGCACGCTTGCCATGTAGTCTAATCATATACAAAAATACCCCTGGTTTGCGAAATAATTGTAAAGTCTGGTTTTATTTCTGCAAGTTGTTCAAGGGGGTCTTTAAAACATGGACGCATAAAATTGGTGCTCCAATTTTTGTGGGAAAACTTTTATTCGACAACAAAAAATGAGAAAACGCGTTTTTTGAGATTCAATCGAAAATGTTGGCAGGAACGGAAAAACCTTTCATATATAATTGTTATGCCAGTCATACACGTAACGATATACTTGTGCAAGCTTAGACTTGCGCAAACTCACATCATCCTATCTCGAGCACACACAGCGCGAAGTATACTTGACCGATCATTTTTGAGAAAGTCATGGAGCAGGCGAGTTGTGTTGCGACGATGGCATCCATTGATGATGCTATGGTGATAGTTGGCTGGATAGTTGCTACAAAAAAAATGAAAAGATCTAAAAGGCATCGAGCTATATGGTGTAAGGACTGGTTAATGAAAAGAGAACATTCATCACACATCAATTTAGTGAACGAATTGAAATTTGCACCCAAAGACTGGCATGACTACCTGCGTATGAACGAAGAAACTTACTTGAAGCTTCTATCGATGATTACTCCACTTATTAAAAACCAAGATACTGTAATGCGAAAAGCTATATCGCCACACGAAAGATTGACAGCAACTCTGAGGTTTCTCGCAACTGGAAGGAGTTACGAAGACCTAAAGTTTACAACAATAATATCACCCCAGACGTTGGGTGTTATTATTCCAGAAACATGTGAAGCGATATACAAAGTACTGCGGCAGTATTATTTTAAGGTGAGTAAAAGGTTTTTAATTCTTAAACATTTATTGACAATCATTGAAGCTGCATATAAATGCCCCGGCTGATTGTTCCGGAATAGATAATTGCACTTCAGTATGTTCAGTCGAATGTTGTGAATCCGAATTGTACTGCATGGAAGCCGTGGAAGAATCATTACATTCGTGCTCGATGTGTGGCAATGAAGATAGAGTTGATCCTAAATGCATGAACTGCTGTGAGTGTTGTGTTGGAGGACTTAGAATTGGGGTTCCTTGGTTAAACTGTTGTGAGTGGTGTATTGGAGGACTTGGAGTTGGGATTTCACGAATGAACTGTTGTGGCCGGTGTGCTGAATGACTGGGAGTTGTGTCTGATATGTTGGAGGACTGGGAGTTGTGCGATACAACTCACGTACATTGAACTCTCCATGTGGCAGTCTCAAGTTGTCCATTTCTGCTTGAAATAATGGGTCGATTATAATTTTTTCAGCAATCAGCCTTCGATGTATTGGCAGATCGCGCAGTTTCATTGCGACATTTTCGCCAAAAATATCAAGTCGGTCTTCGCTCAACAAAGGACGCTTGAAATGCTCTTTTACGACTTGCAATACGTCGGTAGATAAATCTGGTGAATCTAATGAATGAGGATTACTGTTACTTTTTCTTTTGGGTGGTCTAGGGCGGCTTGATATTTGTGTAGAGGTACTAGCTGTTTCCGGAGAATTATCATGTCTATCTTGTGATGGCAAAACATCGCTGTTCATTGAAGCTTGTATGGTTTCCTGGAACAATAATTGTTATTTTACTTTCTTTGCTTTCAGTTTCCACAAACAGAAGATGAATGGAAAAATATAGCAAAACATTATGAAAATAGGTGGAATTTTCCACATTGCCTTGGCGCCATAGACGGGAAATACATAGGCATTATTCCTCCAAGTGGAAGTGGCTCCTATTTTTATAATTATAAAGGTCGACACAGTATGGTACTTCTTGCAATAGTGGATGCTAAGTACCAATTTATAATGTGCAGCTTTGGGGTTAACGGCAGGATATCAGTCGGCGGTGTGCTTCAGACTACTACATTTTATGACAAGCTTCAAAAACACCAATTAAGTATCCCGTCAGATGAAACCATAAAGGGAAGTTCCAAAATACTTCCTTATGTATTTGTAGCCGACGATGCTTTTGCTTTGAGAACAGATATGATAAAACCATACCGACAGGCAGATTTAAATGCTCGCGAAAGAAAGATATACAATCATCGAGTATCTCGAGCGTGGCGCATTGTAGAGAATGCATTTGGAATCTTGGCTTCTAGATTTCGGATATATAAAACTCAAATTAATCTAGAACCCAAGAACATTGATAAGGTGGTAATGGCAAGCTGTGCTTTGCATAACTTTTTAATGTCGTCATCGAATTCATATAGTTCTGCAGAATGTTTCGATCACGAAAACCTAGAAGATGGAACTATTACATCAGGTTTAACATCACATGATTTAAACATGGAGCCATTATATCGACGAAACTCTGGAAATAATGCAACTGCAAGATAACTTTATTCCTTAAACACATAGAGAAATGTTACCTTGTAAATATTTACATTAAATAAAAATATAATAGCTAATTTCGTGTACTTACTTCAGAACTATCATCTTCGACGATGTTGGAACGAGAAGATCTTGGCGGTCCTTGGTCGTCATCGAGAAATTTCAGTAAATTATAATACCATAATGTTGGCAAATAAACATCATTGGTGCCTGCTCCAGATCGGCTAGACTCTTCTATCTTCTTCTTTTCTTTACGGTAGTTGGGGCGTAAGCCATTAATTTTTTTAACTATCATATCTCGGTTGGCACTTGGTTCTATTTTCTTATACAGTTCTACTAATTTGTTATAAGCGGCGGTTTTTTTATCTCTATTATGGTAGTGTTTGTTCTTTATTTGCCAGAGGCATGGTTCATTTCTGTACACATTTATAAATTCTTCCAAATTTTCTCGAACTCCACGTGTCTCACTCATTTTGGTGCTGAACAACGCCACGCGTGTGTACAACCAAGCAGCAGGACATCGCTAACTGCGAACGCTCGTTGCCACACACGTTCAAGTAAACTTACGCAAACGTAAACTTGCACAAGTCTCGGAATCGAAAATTGCAACGTTCTTGCGACTTGTACAAGTCTAGACACTTGCGCAAAAATCTTCCAACACACGCTACAGTATCCTTGTGCAAGTCTAAGTTTGCGCAAGTATATCGTTACGTGTATGGCTGGCATTAGGTATTCAAGAGACCTATAAAATGAGACCACACGTAAAAAGATCCGACTAATAGCGAAAAAGTTATGGCCGCTAACCGAGGCAAACTGCAGGTTTTGGCACTTTGGCACAAAGTTGGAGTAGCCTGGTCAAGTAGATTTTGAGAATTTGTAATTGTTCATCCCAAAACACCTGTTTTCCGGCCATCACTACTAGTTTATATTATTACCTAGGTGATATGAATCGCAAACCATTCCAAAAGATAAATGTTATTTTTTATGCAAAAAGGATGGGTTACGTTTTTTCTTCTAAAAAAATTCAAACATTTCGTATTTGTGAGTAATTCGCAACAAAAGATGATAGACACATCCGCTTTGTTTTAAAATGTGTATAGTAACGTATATTTTTCGAATATCGTAGCGCATTTGTTCAATTACTCACAAATAAGAAATGTTTGAATTTGTTTAGAAGAACTTTTTCTTTTGGGTGGTCTAGGGCGGCTTGATATTTGTGTAGAGGTACTAGCTGTTTCCGGAGAATTATCATGTCTATCTTGTGATGGCAAAACATCGCTGTTCATTGAAGCTTGTATGGTTTCCTGGAACAATAATTGTTATTTTACTTTCTTTGCTTTCAGTTTCCACAAACAGAAGATGAATGGAAAAATATAGCAAAACATTATGAAAATAGGTGGAATTTTCCACATTGCCTTGGCGCCATAGACGGGAAATACATAGGCATTATTCCTCCAAGTGGAAGTGGCTCCTATTTTTATAATTATAAAGGTCGACACAGTATGGTACTTCTTGCAATAGTGGATGCTAAGTACCAATTTATAATGTGCAGCTTTGGGGTTAACGGCAGGATATCAGTCGGCGGTGTGCTTCAGACTACTACATTTTATGACAAGCTTCAAAAACACCAATTAAGTATCCCGTCAGATGAAACCATAAAGGGAAGTTCCAAAATACTTCCTTATGTATTTGTAGCCGACGATGCTTTTGCTTTGAGAACAGATATGATAAAACCATACCGACAGGCAGATTTAAATTCTCGCGAAAGAAAGATATACAATCATCGAGTATCTCGAGCGTGGCGCATTGTAGAGAATGCATTTGGAATCTTGGCTTCTAGATTTCGGATATATAAAACTCAAATTAATCTAGAACCCAAGAACATTGATAAGGTGGTAATGGCAAGCTGTGCTTTGCATAACTTTTTAATGTCGTCATCGAATTCATATAGTTCTGCAGAATGTTTCGATCACGAAAACCTAGAAGATGGAACTATTACATCAGGTTTAACATCACATGATTTAAACATGGAGCCATTATATCGACGAAACTCTGGAAATAATGCAACTGCAAGATAACTTTATTCCTTAAACACATAGAGAAATGTTACCTTGTAAATATTTACATTAAATAAAAATATAATAGCTAATTTCGTGTACTTACTTCAGAACTATCATCTTCGACGATGTTGGAACGAGAAGATCTTGGCGGTCCTTGGTCGTCATCGAGAAATTTCAGTAAATTATAATACCATAATGTTGGCAAATAAACATCATTGGTGCCTGCTCCAGATCGGCTAGACTCTTCTATCTTCTTCTTTTCTTTACGGTAGTTGGGGCGTAAGCCATTAATTTTTTTAACTATCATATCTCGGTTGGCACTTGGTTCTATTTTCTTATACAGTTCTACTAATTTGTTATAAGCGGCGGTTTTTTTATCTCTATTATGGTAGTGTTTGTTCTTTATTTGCCAGAGGCATGGTTCATTTCTGTACACATTTATAAATTCTTCCAAATTTTCTCGAACTCCACGTGTCTCACTCATTTTGGTGCTGAACAACGCCACGCGTGTGTACAACCAAGCAGCAGGACATCGCTAACTGCGAACGCTCGTTGCCACACACGTTCAAGTAAACTTACGCAAACGTAAACTTGCACAAGTCTCGGAATCGAAAATTGCAACGTTCTTGCGACTTGTACAAGTCTAGACACTTGCGCAAAAATCTTCCAACACACGCTACAGTATCCTTGTGCAAGTCTAAGTTTGCGCAAGTATATCGTTACGTGTATGGCTGGCATTAGGTATTCAAGAGACCTATAAAATGAGACCACACGTAAAAAGATCCGACTAATAGCGAAAAAGTTATGGCCGCTAACCGAGGCAAACTGCAGGTTTTGGCACTTTGGCACAAAGTTGGAGTAGCCTGGTCAAGTAGATTTTGAGAATTTGTAATTGTTCATCCCAAAACACCTGTTTTCCGGCCATCACTACTAGTTTATATTATTACCTAGGTGATATGAATCGCAAACCATTCCAAAAGATAAATGTTATTTTTTATGCAAAAAGGATGGGTTACGTTTTTTCTTCTAAAAAAATTCAAACATTTCGTATTTGTGAGTAATTCGCAACAAAAGATGATAGACACATCCGCTTTGTTTTAAAATGTGTATAGTAACGTATATTTTTCGAATATCGTAGCGCATTTGTTCAATTACTCACAAATAAGAAATGTTTGAATTTGTTTAGAAGAAAAAAACGTAACCTTTGTTTTTCGCATAAAAATAACATTTATCTTTCGGAATGGTTTGGGATTCATATCGGTAAGGTAAACACGTGTATTTTGCTATTAAATGCTCTTTGAACGAACCCTGTATATTGCTCAATAAACTAGTAGTGATGGCCGGAAAACAGGTGTTTCGTGATAAACTATTAGAAATTCTCAAAAGACTACTTGTCCAATGTACTTTTTGTTGTTGTTTAGAAGTATTAATCCTACAAATCTGAAGAATTTCAATTAGTGGCGTGAAATTATCGTCG